ATGCTGATATCTATCTTTTATAATTTCAAAACATGCAACAAAACAGATATATAATTATCATATAAAGGATAGATATCAGGATATTAACAGATACTCTTTATTTATCTTATATTTATTTTATATGATATACCGATACTTATCCTTTATGTTACTATATATCTGCCAAAAAAACAGTAGAAAATCAGATTAAAAATGGATACATAAAGGATAGATATCGGGATAATAAAGAGATACCAATATGCATTCTTTATATATTTATTGAACCTGTGAAAGACTTAAAAAATCAAATTGGCCGATATGGTCTATTCTCAAGATAAACTTAACATAGTAGTACATGTTTTATACATATATTCACATGCTTGTTTCTATAACTTCTTCCTAATTAGTACATATTAACCTGCCATTCCATATTCATATCTCATGCCACTTTTTGGGGTACTACTATTCTACAGATATTTCTCAAGCACCAACCTTCCTAATTAGGTACCTATTACATACTCCTTGCCCTTATTCTGGTTTCCAGCAACCCCAGTACTTACATTTAGACCATCTTCTTACCTAGATTTTTTATTAGTCTCTCCCTTACTTCTAGCTAGCAACCTGGAAGAGTCAGTTTGCCCAGGTTTTAGATGTTTAAAGAATACTCTCCCTTTGGTCCATACTTTCAGAGTATATGTTTTTTTTCTGGTGTGACAACTTAGTAGTTCAGCTAGTATGTTCTTTGCCATTAGAATCTGGTTGCTCGGTTCTTCAATTTTAGACCCCGATTCAAACTTAGCCCTCTTGTAATACTGTCATAAATCACTGCTACTTCCAAACTCAGAACTTGCCAAATGGGTTTTTAGTTATTCTAGTCCCCTAGATCTATTGTGTCAAAGCTTCTATTACTAGATAGTGTGACCAAGGTTATAGATTAATCTAGATCCAACTGATAAAAAGCCATTAACTATACACAAATCTATTTTTCAAAATCATTGCCAGTAAGATTTGAACTTTAAATTTGCTACTTGGAGAGAGTGATGACTAGACCACTATACTAAGTTGTTACACCTTTTAAGTAAAAATTTTATAACAAATACAACAATTATATATCTCTAATATAAAGTGATATCTAAACATATACATCGTCTGACTACTGACCAACTTTGAATACTTCTTTAGCCGGAGACTCTAATTTAAGTTATATGAAGTAGTACTATATTTACAAGTAAACAAGACACATGGTTGCATTCTACTAAGTTTGTCAAAATTTGGGATTGTCTAAAGCAGAGCAGAATCACATGATATTAAACCAATCAAACTATAGAATTTTGATGATTGCTAATGAAGCAAAACAAGAAAAAAACTGAAAACTTAAAAATACAAAAAATAGCAGTCTAAACTTACCTTAGGTAAGTTAAATAAAAATGTTGAAAAGATAATTTTATTTATATATAACTATTTTAACTTTAATTTAAATATAACTATAACTCTAAAGTCAATTCAATAAAATAAATATTATAAGAATCTACTCTGCTTTAGATATTTTTCAAATTTGAAATATAAACAATGCCAATTTTTTAAAAGGGATAAGCCAAATTTCTACTTTTTTTAAGATTTTTTGAAAGACCAACAAAAAAGTAAAAATAAGTAATAGTGAAGTCACTTGAAACAGAAAAAGGAGTGCAGCTTAAGAGCAATATATAATTTGTTATTTCTTCTATATTCTTCAACTAAAATAATAATCTACAAGCTTTATTAATGATACCAGTTATCACTAGAGTTCTTGCCTGCTACCAAGATTTTTTATACAAGAGCACTTCTTGCTAGTTATCTTGTATAATAATGCTCTTGGCTTGTATGCCAAATATTCCTTATAGAGAAGTCCTGTATAGCAAAAAGTTAACCTTTAGACAAACCACTAGTAGACAATAATTCTTCAACAAATTTTTCTGTTTTTCTGTTAGTAAAAAATTTGGTTCAAGTGATTATTTATAAAAATTATTATTATAAAAATAATAAATCTTTAAAAATTAATAACTTTTTCCTCCTCTTTCCTAGAAAAAGGGTTATTAGTTGTCGGTTCTTTCAAGGATAAAATACTTTCTTTGGGTGCTAGTGGTCCTTCCTTTTGGTCCTGTCAGTCTTCTCCAAAATTTTCGACAAAAAGTAGGCGATTTGGCTTACCCTCTTCAAAAGATTGGCATTGTTTATCTCCCAAATTCAGAAGTACCCAGGAATGCAACCACGTGTCTTGTTTATCAGTAGATATGTGATGCGACGTAGTCTACGGATATGGGACCTCCACGTGACTGGGATCAGGTCTATAGCGGCGTCCGGAAGTGGTCGGTAGTCAAATAATAATATGTTGGATTTTGTAGTCGAGATATACAAATGTTGCAGTTGTTATAAAATTTTTCTTAAACCTGGCACGGGTTATAATAGTGTATTTTTCTTCATTCTATTTGTACTGCTTCTTGATAGAGATAGTTTTTTTTGTTGGCCCTCGGGCTTTTCTCTTTGATTTTTTTTTTTACATTTCATTGTACCCCTTTTATTTTCCTTTAAAATTTCCCCTTCGTTCTATTTGTGTTTTTTTTAGTGAGTTTTTCGTTTTGTTTTCTTGGTATTAATGGTGGTTTTGTATTGGATATAAGATCATCACTTTCTTTTGCTCTTGGTAAAGAAAGAGAATATGAAGAGAAAAGCTTTGACGAGCTGACAAAGTTTATCTGACTTGTATACAGGTTGGTGCGACAAGTCGCATTTGGGCACGTTAATTGCAGCCGGGTGATGTCAGGTTCACAATCGCTAGATGCCGTTTATGGTTATGAATGATATGTATTGTTCGAGAGAGTTTAACTCTCACCTAAATATAGTCTTAAATAAATTAAGCACTGGCAAGACTGTCAAAGAATTAAAAAAAAAAAATTAATAACTTTTAATCTATTGATTCAATTTGAATGATTTAACTACCAAAATGATTCTTTCATAAAGACAATTCTAATGAATCTAATATTAGCCAAATCAAATTATATAATCTCAAGATAATTAATATTTTATATTATATTTACTATAGTAAATATAATACAAACCATTAATGATTTTAAGCAAGATCATATAATTAGATTTGACTAATTTTAAATTCATTAAAATTGTTTTTATAAAAGAATTATTTTAATAGCCAAATCATCCAAATTGGATTAATAGATTAAAAGTTATTAATTTTTAAAGATTTTATTATTTTTTATTAATAAAATTTTCAATAATTTTAATTTTTTCTAATTGCAGGTTCTCTTTAAATACAGGTCAAAGTACTAGTCCTAACAACATGCACTTAGAGTAAATCAACTATACTTAGATACAGAATGATTTGTTATATAATTTTTAATAACTTGATCAAGTAGATTTCTACTAATAAAAGAATATTTTATATTGAAGAAAATATGAAGATGGTAAAGTATAAAATGAAAATAAAATCCAAAAAGCTTTTATTCATATTCATTTGCTCTGAACTTATTTATATTTTACTTTTATTAAATTAATTTAATAAACTTTTAAATGATAGATTGTATGATTGATTATTTGTATCAGATTATAATTAAGACATCTTAGATGACAGATTAATAGGTTATACACCTTATCTAATAATTATCATTTAAGGTGTGTTAGCTATAATCTAAGACAAGTATTAGTCTAAAAATAAAAAAGAAACAAATTTTTTAAGTAAAAGTTTTTTTGATTTTAAGCTTAAATATTTTAGCAATTATTTTATTAAATTTAATAAATTTTTTTTATTTTAATTCTTTATAATTTCAAAATTAAAATAAAAAAAATTTTAAGCAAGTTTAATTAATTAGTTGCTGAGATATTTTAATTTAAAAATTAAAAAAATTTCACTAAAATAATTTGTTCCTCCACCCCATATACTGTATATTCTTTTAAAAGAATAATAACATGCTGTACTTTTATTTTTTAATAAGTAATAAACTTGGCAAGTAGTATATAAAAACTGACAAATGTTGCTATAAATCAAAATTTTATTTATAAAACCACTTTTTAAGTTCCAATAAAAAAAATTCCTTGTAAAATTTTGGTATAAACTAAGCTTTCACCTATTCTAGTCTTTAACTCTAACCCTAATCTTAATCAAAATTTAACTTGTTTTAATAAAAATTATTTTAATTTATATGTTACACTGCATTTTATTATTGTGGTGTTAAATACCATAGGTGTGATATATAATTTTTGTTATTGTTATTAATTTAAATAATTCAAATTCGAAGCTTTAAAGGGTAGATTGAAGAACAAGGAACCCGGTGATATCTTTGCGATCATCACATCAATGATTAGGGTTAGGTGATACGAAGTATAGTTTAAGCTGATTTGTTAGTGCTGGTAGACAACTGACGTCATTGCATAATTTCACGTGATGTGATAATCACTAGGTTCCTTGTCCTTCAAGTGTCCGCTTAAGCAATTGTTAGTAATTATAGCATCACAGTATTCATTATCGGATATCCGGTCTTCCTAAAGACGATAACGCTTTAGATGGTGGTGGCGGGGCGTTCATGCTAAATGATCGTGCTAACGTCTCTTTTTCCATTGCCTTTAAAGTAGCACGTAAGGCGAAAGGTACAAATTGTCTATTATTGTTCCGATAATCTTGAGTTCTTATTCTATTCCGAACTTCGAATGCGGTATCCTGTAAGTTGTGTCAAGTGGATTAGTAACAGAGCAAAGTGTTTAAACTTAAAAGAATATATTACCTTTTCAGACACATTTGGTACAACATTTCCATCGCCACTATCATCTTCATTATAATTCATATAAATTGCTTCGTCGACTTTTGATAAATACTCATGTCGTTCCTTCTTGATCTGCTCAAGTTTACTTCTAAGATTATCGGCAAGTTTTTCATCAGACGCACTTAAAGGTGCAACAATTGACCAGATATCTATTAGTTGATCTTCTGTTCTTGAATTCATCTTGTCACGAGTAATCTTGCGTGATGCAGCTTTTGCCTCCTCTGTTTCAGAAATTTTTCGTTTTTTTAAATGATATTGGTTGACTATTTGATCAAGACAGTTCAAAGATTCTGGACATTCAAATTCACCCTTATAAAGTTAAAGATCACGTTAGTGTGTTATATGCAACTTTGAAACATCTTAAATGAATACACTTACTAAAGGCCCTGTGTTTAATTCGTCTTTAATTTCTACTACATAATTTGGGATGGTTCTAGAAATAAGCATAAAGCATTCATTATAATGATGCATAGCAATCGGTAAACACAAAATATGTATTAATATAAACCTTTTTTAATCCTTTTCCTATATTTCCATATTCTCCGCAAGGATCAATAACAGCGACAAACTCGAACGCATCATCCGCTCTCATTTTCTCGTATATGTACTCTGCATCATATATGTCATGCTTCTGGCAATATTGATAAAGTTCAAATAAGGATTTCCACATTTCTAAAGTGTAATTTTATCAGTCTATATGTGTTGCAATGAATAATAAAGAAAAATAAAAAATCTTACTCAATGACAGGCGAATCCTAACTTTGTCAAAAGTGTCAGGCTGCGTAAAGAATAGTAAATATAAACCATATAGAACTCCCAATTTAACCTCTAATAAGCACGTGCTGAAAAAATACGCTAATAAAAAAATAAAAAAAAATAATCCTTATGAACGAAAAAGATAACTTTCAATAAAATAAACAAAATAAAATTACATAATGTGATTTGGTATAAGGCTTGCATGAAAGTTGGTCGTCCAATTTTTTCGGTACATGCAAAGTGCATTAATGAAAATTTATAGTCCTTCCAAACACTTGCAAAAGTTGTAAAATCATAACTTTGTTTCTAAATGTTTGATTTCGCGTTAACTTTAGTATTAATCGATGCTCACATTTAGAACTAAATATTAATAATAAGGTACAAACTTTTTGGTATCCAACTATGAGCAGTCGAATATCATGTTCAAGAGCAGAACGGGATATCGCTTCACTCCCGATCGGAAGTTCATCTTTGAAAGTGTTCGTAGAAGTTGCAGGATTCATTTTTTTGACCTTTTATCGCAGTAGAGTGAATAAATACTGAAACGATAAAATAATAAAATCACGTGTAAATTCGAAAGCTCTATTACAGTATTATAACGTGACATCGTGATTCCATTGTAAACATAACAATGACAAAAAATCGCTTTTGGTTGTTCTTTTTGCTGCCTTTGAAAATTTAATTCTGACATTTTTCAAGCATTCAGATTCACTAAAGAGACGTGACGGACGATTAATCATGAATTCGTTTGTGAGTTATTTTATTTCACTTAGATCAAACAGTAAAGTTCAATTTGCTTTCACAGCCCTTAGCGCGACAATAGCTACAGCAACCGCGATATTTTCGTATCAATCATTTCAAAGGCAAGCGCGTACTCAAGCTCTTAAAAAGGATCTTTCTTCTTTGCCGCCTTCAGAAAGGTCAATCCAGCCAAGAAAGCTTAGTGTTGAGGAATTAAGTGCCGTCACTGACCAGATTCAATTTGATGAAACACTTATAAAAGAACAATTGGCTAGAAACATTGCCTTCCTTGGCGAAAAAGGAGTTGCCAAATTACGAAAATCTTTCATTATAATTGTTGGAGCCGGCGGTGTCGGATCTTGGGCTGCACTAATGCTGGTTCGTTCTGGAGTTGAACATATTAGAATTATAGACTTTGACCAAGTAACATTGAGTAGTTTGAATAGACATGCTGTTGCAACACACTCAGATGTCGGTGTTCCCAAAGTTATTGCGTTGCAAAAAAATTTTAGAGAATTTGCACCATGGGTAAAGGTTGAGCCAATTATTGAACTTTTTACTAAAGAAAGCGCGCCTCATCTCTTATCGGGTAAGAAAATTTAAAGAATTATTTTTTATTTTGCTCGTATTTCACGAGTTTCTTCTATACAGGAAATCCGGATTTCATTGTTGACGCAATTGATAATATTGATACAAAAATTGATCTTCTCAAATATTGCCATGACAATAAATTACCGGTAAGTATTTCTTTGTATGATCAAAATTTTACTGCCTTAGTAACTGATAAATTGACGTGTAGATTTTGAGTTCGATGGGAGCTGGTGCTAAAGCCGATCCATCACGTGTCCAAATGAGCGATATAGGTCAAACGATTGGTATGCAAATATCCTGTTGTTGCTCTTTGATTTCTTTTTTAAATTGTATGATATTTATAATTTTGAACCTATCAAATAACAGAAGATCCACTTGCAAGAGCTGTTCGGCGCCGCCTTAAAAAGCTTGGTGTTGAATCAGGGATCACGGTAGTATATTCTACCGAAAAGCCTAATATAAAATTGTTGCCATTAGGTTAATGGTGAATTCATTTTATAAAGACGCGTCTTTTATTTCAACTGTTCTTGAATGATATATTTATTATTTTCACAGATGAAAGTCGTGTCCAAAGTGCAGGAGAATATGCTACATTACCTGATTTCCGGTCAAGAATTTTGCCAGTATTAGGTTCGTACGTATTTATGCTTTAATCCTTTTAACTTTTACTAAACCACGTGACTTTTTTCTTAGGCACAATTCCTGCAATTTTCGGAATGTCAATCGCAACTTATATTATCACTAGTGTTTCTGGGCATCATGTGGAACCGTTAGCTAATAAAAATCGCGAACCATTATATAATCGAATGCACCGCGATTTGCTGAATAGAGAAAGGAGGAAATATGATGTAACGTTAGTAAAAATGGCATAAGAAATTTTTTTGATTACATATTCATTATATTGATTTATTCTTATTTAGAGCAATACCTCTAGACGTTCACGATGTTGGATATATCTTTGATGAGATATTTCGTAGCAAAAGTGTGGTGTCGGGAACATGGGAGAAACCAACTCTTGTTAGATGGAAAAACAATGTCCCTTTATCACTACAGAATTGTGTAGTGATGACTAAAGCGGAAGCAGACGCACACGAAAATATTGATGATCCTGAAATATATTATCCACCTGAAGTTATAAAATTGGTTCATACCAGATTTCAAGAAGAAAAAGAAATAGCTTTATTTCGTTAATTCACGGTTATCAAACATCTAAATAAGCTATTTCCATGTTTGGCTTAGTCTATTATTTAGTTATGCAGAGGAAATTATGTCTTGTGTAAATATATATATTATTTTTCAACAAAAGAACATTTTAGTGTACGCTTATCAAATTAAGTTTCTGCTTAAATTTATCGAAGTAATAATGACTACGTATTACTGTAGCAATAGTAATAATAAAGTTATACTGTATACTAGAAGTTTTTTTTATTTTTTATTTTTTTTATATTAAAAGTGAGGCCTTGCTTATATCTTTATTAAGTAATTTATATAAGTGGTTATATATTGTAGTAACATTAAATGATAACTTAATTCATATACAAATAAATAAATATAAACTACATGCAAGAATAAAAGCTTAGACTAATTATTTATCTGCAATCTAAATCTACTAAAGTAATCAAAGCTCACCTAGATTTGAATAGTTAAAATATAATTAGTAGGGGTATTATATTGAATCCACATAGTAAACCATACTTAAAGTTTTGTTAATTAATTTAATAGTATATATATATATAATTTAAAGTAACAAATATTTTTGCTTAATTATGCTATGCTAAATATAGTTCTACTTTAAAATCAAATTCCTGAAAAAAACATAATACTGATAAAGTTAGCCAGCATTAGTTATAATGCTGGCCAATTTAGTCAGTACTATGTCCTTTCAAGAAAATGGCTTTCGGGATTTCAGGGTAGAACTGCTAAATATAGCTATATTAAAATTTTTTTTTTTTTTTTTTTTAAGTGATCCTGCCTTTATTTATGTGAACTGCTATAAAATTTATATACTATGTACTAAATTTTTACAACTTATTGCTCTAACTCAATAAAGACTCACCAGGTTGAAAACCCAATGCGACCTGCCAT